CAATTCCTTTACAAGTATCAGACAGGTTAACCCACAGTAACAGAAGATTCTGTTGGGAAATAAGGAGAATGTTTTATAATAGACATTGAGTCCACTAAGTGTGTGTGTGTGTGAAATATAGAGACTGAACACAGTTGATAAAAATAAAACAAACAATCTTTATTATTTAATACACACAAAGAAAATACAGTGTATATACTTGCATACACACATGAAAGACAGTTGCTTCTACTAGACTGTGTTTAGTTCCATAACATTTGTTCTCTCTCTCAGAATTAATTTCTGTAAACCTAAACATGACAATCTTGAAAGATGTTCTTCTCTTGGCAATCTCCTAGTTCAAGTGAATAAAGAAAATGAACCAGGATTTGACAAGTAAACTCGCATTCTTTGTTGACAGCACACCTTATCCCTTTTGTTTTCTTACAGCATTGGCTGACAGTAACAATCATCAACATCATAATAGACCAACAAAAGGTTTCAATACTTTAAATCCGAGTGCTGCACATATTACTGAAATATCCCTTCACACAGAAGAGCCAACATCTACTATAGGGAATAAAGAAATGAAGCAACTAGAACAAGGTAATCTTAACAAATTTTTTGGACCACATGCTGCTGCAATTACAGAGTGCAAACTAAACAGGTGAAAAATGTAAAAAAAATTCTATGTCACAAAAGTAGACAGAAATCACATCATATGTGTGCTTATCACATGTTTTCTTCCTTCTCTCTTTCTGGCTTGTATTCAAACTGATAATTAAATTACCTTTATAACCATTCATTTTTACTCTTGAAACATGGTCAAGGAGCTGGTTAACCTTACTCTATTTCTAAAAACACATACATACAACCACCCTTTAACAATGTGTCACCCTAAAGTTTAACTACACGAGATTCTCTAACTTGACTCACAATAAACAGAAAAAACTTTTCACTTTAACTTAAAGCAAAAAACAAGGTAATACATCACACAATAATTGAAACCCTGTAACTTCAATTTTTAAATAGTCCAATGTTTAAAATCACAGTTCTTGAATTATAATGGAAATTGATGATAAACCTCTACATTCAAATTACACTTGAATAAGTTAACCTCATATTTATCAATCCTTAACCCTATTGCCCTGGGTACCCTTTACTGTGCATGACACAAGGTTTTAGTGTCTTACATTCAAACTTTTATTAAACTACTTTATGTTTGTGTTATACCAATCAGAATAGCATAAAATATTAACTAGTAATCCACATTTTAACAGTATACAAGTTTTAAGTTCTTAATTCAACAAAGCAATATTTTAAAAAAACCTGAATTTCCACTAGTGTGACCTATATGACACATTTTATCTTAGCATGTCATCATCCCTATTTTATTCACCACCCCTCAAAAATGTATGAAATTAAACATAAAATACTCTATAAAATCATTATTGCTCAAACAAACCATAATTTTTATAGCCTTCA